ATATTCAAATCAAGTTGCTGCTTAGCACTGGGAACACTAATAATTTATATATATGATATAATTTCATCTATATATAGATGATAATTATCATCTTTAATTAACTCAACGTTCATTCTTTAATCGTATTAAGATTCAGTCTTTTGGCAATCATTTAAATGTTATTTTAAGGCGAAACGGGATTTTAACTTAATAATTAACAATGTGAATATATTTTTTGCTGTGGGATCAGGGCATAGCCTTGATGCAATAAATACGTTAATAATTACAACCAAGATGTACATTTTTAACTGTAACTACCCTTAGGTTCCACTTTATCTCAATGACTTTAAACCTATTGTAAAAAGAAATGTAGAAACATATTGCACAGGATAACAATAAGTTGAATTTGCATAATGTGAAATGGAAATATTGAAAGTAAAATAACATAATTCAATTCAATTTCTTATATTGCTTCGAAAGCCATCAGAGGCCAATATTCGCTAAAACATGCACATGATCAAAAAAATGTAACGAAATTCACAAAAGAACACATTGATAGGCGTATATATAATTTGGAAGAACAACAATTGTTAAATTACATTTTTTTTAAAATATTGAAGGATAGGTGGAATATGTAGCGTTTTCGGAAGTACGATTGTATCAATAACAGTGATGTGACGCCCGTGAGCTCTTTGGGGAGAGCTCAGGGCCCCATTAAAAAAAGTCACCGGAGGGGCCCCGGGGCTCTCCTACTACTACCACCAGGCACTTTACTGCAAATCATTAGCTGTGGTGTAACACCCGTGTGCTTTCCTGGCCCAGTCTCAGTCCATGGGCCCAGCAGACCACGGGGCCCCTCTTGCTACTATCAGCGCTCTACCACAACTCCTTGACAATACGGCCCCTCCCAATATGACCCAGCATTTTAAATGGAGCTTTGACCAGGTTTTGTAACGCCTGTGTGCCAAAGCCATGTTCCTAGTCCAAATAAGCCCCGATGAGGCCAGGGGCTCCTATCATTGTAGCCCAATACTCCATATAATTCCTTGCTACGACGCTTTTTACAATAAGGTACACATTCTTTTATTTTTCAAAAATGTATGGGGAAATGGCTGGAATCCAAATTCACCCTAAAATCCGCCTCCCCCTAAGACATTAATAAATAAAGATTTAAATACATGATTAACCAAGGACTTATAACTGTTACCAGGATAGGAAGCTGGCTGGTTTAAGCCGTCTAACTTGAAATAGCCTTATGTGCGGTATTGTTATGCTAATGAGTCAGATAAGCACAATCTGCACGTGCTCAGAAAAACAAAACTTTCCTTAGTCACTGCGGCCCTCACTGCGTATTGGCTTAACGTACAGCTAGGCCTAGCCGAGAATTACGGTACGGTAAAACAAAGCAAAATAAGGGTACTAATTTCACTTGGCATGCCAATCAATCATACCTTCACACTTAAAAACAAACTAATCTGCCAATAAAATCACCTGCTATTTAAGATATAAGGCAAGTATGTTCACAAATTCGATTTTAAATTGATGTAATTTTAGTTTGTTGGCTAGCCTAGGCCATGTCTAACCGCTTATAAAAATTCAGAAAAAAGACCCAAAACAAATTAGAATGAAGTTATCAACTAACTAGTGCATTAAAATTATTCATATACTTACTACTTACTTATATAAAATTAAAATGTATTGCTCACAAACGCCAATTTTTTATTTTAATACGCCTTTTCTTTGTTTACCGTACCGTAATCCTTGGGAGGCCTAGCTGTACGCATATAGCCGATACGCAGTGTGGCAAAGGAAAGTTTTGTTTTTCTGAGCATGTGCAGATTGTGCTTATCTGGCTCATTAGCATAACAATACCGCACATATGGCTAAGGCTATGTTCTCACACGGCAGCTAACGGTTAGCAGGATCCGGATCCTTCTAACCGTTAACTGTTGGCGTCCATACGAGAAAATCCCGATCCGGATACCAAGAATATGATGATCGAATCACTGGCCAATAAGAAACTGGAAATTGTAAACGCTTACGTGTGATTGGTTGATGATAGAAACGCGCTCACTTCCTAACCGATAGCGTGCTAACCGTTAGCGGTATCCAGATACCGCTAACGGTTAGCGTTAACCGATCGGGCGTTCTCACACAGGTGTTAACGGTTAGCGCTAACGGTTAGCTCCCGATCCGGACACTAGGTCTCTCGTGAGAACATAGTATATGGCTATGTTGGCTATGTTCTCACACGGCAGCTAACGGTTAGCAGGATCCGGATCCTGCTAACCGTTAGCTGCCGTGCGTCCATGCGAGAAAATCCCGATCCGGATACCAACAATATGATGATCAAATCACTGGCCAATAAGAAACTGGAAATTGTAAACGCGTAGGTGTGATTGGTTGATGATAGAAATGCCCTCAACTTGCTAACCGATAGCTAACGGTTAGCGCTAACCGATCGGGCGTTCTCACGCAGGTGCTAACGGTTAGCGCTAACGGTTAGCACTAACGGTTAGCTCCCGATCCGGATACTAGGGCTCTCGTGAGAACCAGCCTTATATACATCATCTAGGGATGGTGCTGTGCTCTTCTCGTTCTGGACTTTATTTTGTTTTCTTCTCTCTTTATTGTTTTTGGATGGGGGCGGTAGCCCCGTGCTCCCTGGATCCGCACTGATAAGGATTGATGAATGATCGTTTGATAATGCTTCCTTGAGCCTTTTGACAAAGCATCTTTGGAACCTAGATCAATACATTCATGAGCCTGGTTCTCACGAGAGCCCTAGTATCCGGACGCACGGCAGCTAACAGTTAGCAGGATCCGGATCCTGCTAACCGTTAGCTGCCGTGTGAGAACATAGCCATGATT